CGCCTCAGTCAGCAATCGGCTTTTCGATGGTCCATCCGTGCCAGATGGGTTCAACAGAAAGAAATGGGTTCAACAAAAAGAGTCAAACGGAACTGAAACTTCAGCAATTCGAATAACCACGTATTCTGTCTGACTAGTACACAGTTTAAGTTATTAATTTGAATTCAGGTTCTCGCTTCCATATACTACAAGTTCCATCAGATTCAAATCTCACATGAAATATTGAAACGAACCACCGAGGTCACTGGCGTAACGGACGTCTTCGCCCTCTCTCATCACAGGCTCGTTATCACCAAGCTTTCGAAATACCCATTTCAGTCCGTCACTACCACCGCGTATCAAAACAATCTGAATTTTTTCAAAGACAATCCTTTCAAGGAGGGGACACGCTTTCGCAAGTTTGCACACGCGCGTAGCGTTGCCTATAAAATCGTAGTTGGGATGTTTGTAAAGATGATATCTGTCATACTCGAACAATTCGGGGGCTTTGAAGACATTTAGAAGAGGCAAACGGGCCAAATGAGGGAGAAATTCGTCCTGAAAGAGATGTGAACAAAACTTCTTTGAGGTACGAAATTCGGCACCACGCACCAATCTTACTTCACGCACCCAGAAGTCAAGAGTGAGTTCGCGTATGTGTGGAAACGCTGCGACGACATCTTCAAGATCGTTTGAATCGCCCCGGACACCGAGATGTGTTAAAGAAGGTAATCGGTTGGATTTGAGGATGTCCAAGAAGGGTTCACGAAAGGGAGATGGGACATCTTCACCGGACTGATCAAGCTCTATGTCGCCTTCGTCATTTTCATCTAATTCATCTGGATCATCGAAGAATACGTCGTTCATGACAACTCTCTTGGACAATAATACACCGGTGAGTTCGGTGACTCTTGATCCTGCGCCATGTTCAACGAGCCAGACTACATGGAAAGCTTTGCACTGCAAACGCTTCAGGTGAGGAAGGAGAGGCTTTGAGGGTGGATTTCTTGGCTTTTGAAACCATCGTTTCCCAATGATCAACGGTGCCAAGCTCAGCTCCTCAATGCCTGGATGCGCATGGAGGAATCCCAGTAGTGCGGAGGGAATACAGTGAGCCCTGCCAGATATGTTGAGGCTACGCAGGTGGTTCCATTGAGCGGTAATGATCAGAGCTGTTATCGACATCGTGATCGGCGATTTGAGGAAAAGATGCAACTTCTAAACATCGATATTTGAGAGCTTTCAAGAAACGTCAAAATGACCATTTCGCACCTCCAAGTCCTTGTTGCCTGCAAGCATTCCGACAATACCAGTAAAATCCACCTCGTCTTGCGTTTGATCATACGCATGAGTACATATAGTCAGAGTCTTGAGCCCTCTCAGACTGAGGAACTATTGAAGCATTTCGTCAGTGGTAGAACCAAGAGTTTTGGGAAAGACGACGCACCGTTTCAGTGCTTGCCAACGGTTTCACAGCTATGTATCCAGCAGGCGCATGAGTAAGCACTGAGAATGGTTCATCAACGACATCAAGCTCCTCCAAGCTTCCTGAGCTACCCAAAGCATGCCATAAATCGTTTTGGTCGACGATTACTGGGGGCGGAGATCGATACCAACCAAAACGTTTGAGATTCTTCATTCGCTTCACAGCATCAATAAGCAACACTTCATCTGCTCTCGTTTGCTCAAACGATGGCCTGCCTGAAAAATGCTGAATTTGTCCCCTTCCGGCAAGTTCCTTCGGTACGACGAGAGGTTCGGCCATCCAACGATCTGGTCCGTAATCGCCATGGCAAACGTCCGAAATGTTTTCAGGCAGGATATCTAATTCGCGAACTTCACCCGCAGTAAGATCTGCTTGAGCAAAGAAACGCCAGATTGCAGCAGAGCGAGATATCCTGGCACGAAAGACGCGATATATGCAGGGATGAGGGATGGAAATGTCCGCTAGAGCCTTATTCGAGAGCCCAAAAGACAAAACGTCGGAAGGCGAATCTATGAATGATACAATTTCGTGTAGAATTTCGACAGGTAGAACATCGGTTATTGCTGACATGTGGGTGAAAAGGTAATGGACTGGCTTTATTCAGCCAGTGAATTATTATAGAAGAATCGCCCATGGCGGTGACTGATTGAGCTAATTAACGATACACATGTGATAAATTAAATAAGCTGCAATATTACCAAGATCCTGCCTGGCTTATGTTTGAAAATATTCATTCATTCTAGCTTTAAATCTCTCTTTTTCCATTACTTGAGCCTTCATCGCTCGCCCTCGGCATCTCTCTTGTCTTCAAGTTTGAACTGCCAATCACAGACTCTGCAAACTTCTGAAAGTCTTTCCTCGAACAGAATCTTCCCGGCTAAAACTTGTCACAGACCCGGGTAGATATAATATAAACTATTCATACCTTCAGAGCGTAAACGACAATCTCAGTCGCTCCAGATGCCTTTGACCCTACTGACTCTGCCAGCAAGAGCCTGAGGATGCATTCCTGCGGATCGAACGTGCACCGGACCGTAGGTTGTAGACGAGTGTTCATTGAAATCTTCCAAAGAGGTTCTCTGCGAAATACTGAAGATTTGCGCAAAGTCAACACGTCGGACTAGGATATGCACGCGTTCTCTCACTCACAAAGTCGCTGAACCAAAGTTCTTTTGTCCAACAAGTACTTGACCTGCCCCAATATTCCACTCGAGTAATCATTGCTGCCGCGTTTGACAAATAATTTCACGCCCTTCAGCTCGCATTGAACGTCCTCATCTTCTTCTCCGGTTACATCTGATTGTTCGATGAGCACACAACATCCTGTTTCTGCTGGCGGAAATACTGACGGGTGTAAGTTGGCGCGTCCCGAGGAGAATTCAATCCGAGGGCGTGAGGTTCTCTGCTTTCAGAGCTGGAGAGATCGTCGTCAAGCCGTTCGACGAAGGAATGTCGCTTCCTGAAACTGTTGGTTGAGGACCATGTTGGTCTCATGTTTGCTCCCGAGGCCAAAGTTCCGTTGTTCAACGAAAAAGAGGCTGGTGTTGCAGTCGCAAATCCTTCAAAGGCAAACGCTTGCGACGTTGGTGTCGTTTTTACAGCAGAGGGCTGGATTCAGAGATGAGATTAGGGACAATTTTACTTCTTTAAGTCTTACCTTGGAAGCCGGTGCGTCCTTCTTTCCTGTCTCCGAAGTAACCTGGTTGACATTGCAATGAATATCAGATTACGAAAATGTTCATTCAACTCACTGGTAACAAAGGTTCGTGAAGAGATCGCGAAAAAGCTGGTTCCTCACTTGCACGTCGTTGTCGCTCGCCGGTAGGCTCCTCAAGTGAATCACCCACTTGCTTGATTTTCACCTCTGAAGTCGCGGCAGCTCGATCATCGTTCTAAGAGCATAGCAGGTTGGTGACAGCATTCTTCAGAAAGAGGCGAAAATCACCTTCTCTACAGAGTCCTCAGCCACAGGCATACCCTGCTCACTTTTCTCTGCCGATTCAGGTGGAGTTTTGCAACGTTTATTAGGATACAGCGCCGCAAGATTCTAAAGGACACGAACAGTCATGCGTTTGTATCTAAAGGGAAGACAGCGTTCGACGTACGTGTGGATATTCCAATGGCTGCGAACCACGGTTCACAGATTAACGATTGGTACTTTGTCCGTATGGGAAAGAACGTACGACATTGTTTTCGTCGTGATCGTGCATCTGCTTACGCTTCAACGACGGTCCCCTAGCCACAGCTAGCAAACGCTGATCTGGAGCGGTTATTTGTTCCGCAGGAACCGTTCTCGATATACTCTGTGTCTCAGCTCCTTCAGAAGAATTGGACGAGGAAAGTTCGTGATCCGGAACTGTTGGTACTCTTGTGCCAAACACAAGATTGCTCTTCGGTATTTCTGCCTGGTTTGGCAGCTCTCTTTCTCTGGAGTTTATGTCTTGATGACTGTGCCTGAACAAAGGAATGGGAAAAGTACAAACGAGTAATTGAACAAACTTACAACTCTATCCTTCGCCTTTTGGCATAAACATATCCCACTGTCGCAGCAAACGTCGCCATTCCACAGTAAACAAAATTGAAATCGGCAGTCGGAAACATCTTGTGGTCAGCGAAGGCTGAACTAGAGGAGGATGATAATAGTTGGAACTTGGAACCGAGGAGTAGCGAACGAGAAGATGATGAGCCTTAAATGTCACCGATAAAAGGATGCGCGATTCCTGCATGTTTTTTTTCGGAGCCTTGCAGCAACCTCACGTTCTTGGTAGCATCGCAGGCAATGCTGTCATCCGCTCAGATGACATCGTTTAGCACAGCTAATCATGGAACATGCGTCTAACATAAGGTTACCAGACACGGACTGTTCCATTAGGGTTAAAAGTTGGACGTGAATCATGTGCCCACGCAAGCCTGAACCTACTAGCAGAAGATAGTAATCTGGAAGATGGGATATGGTGGTGGCTGACAGGCTGCTGGAAACGGCGAAGGGAATCAGGAGATCGCTATAAATAGGGCAACAAACTACTTCTACTAGCCAGAGAGTCAACACCAAAATGTAAAATCCCATGCCGAGGTGTAGATAATCGCTATATACCTGGCCTATTCTCACCACGTTCAAAGAATCTAGTTCACAAACTGAATTTACTTGACACCCATTTAGATACACGCAAACACCAAGTTCAAGATGCTTTTCTTCTTTCTCGATTAGATACAAGGTCAAATTTCACGAAACCACTATACTGGAACTTCCAGAAACAGAGGAAGGTAAGTACAACCTGAAAACAACTCAAATAACTTCTCTCTGTGTTTCATTTTATGAGCACCGTCCTAAAAGTTCCAGATATTCTGATGGACTACAATAGTCTCAGCTTGGTCTATTGTAGTTATGAGTCCGTCTCTTTCTTGAAATATAAATTTGGAAAGAAAGTTCGTCATACTTGCTCTGAGTTTCTTGTAGAGTTGAATTGAGAGAATTCGATGAGAGTTCGATGAAAGAATGTCTTCAAACTCGTTCAAAAAAAAAAGTAGAAAAAAATGCTCACTGGCAGGGTCGAACTGCCGACCCTTGCATGATATGCGCAGGTATTCACGTGCCCTCATAAGTACAATGCTCTACCACTGAGCTAAGCGAGCTATGAATATGACTGGAGTGCAGCATATACAGCTCTGAACTAGCTTGAACAGATGTCTCATCTTCGATAGGGGTTGAGCATACTGTGGTTCTAAGCTCAAGGATTCGAAGGTATGATGGATTGAGCAGTAATGATTTGGATACGCTCAATGTATCCACACCCATATCCAATAATTTTCTTTTGGCAGCGTATCATTCTCACATATACAGCGATCCTCTGACGGAAGAAAAGTACTGACTCAAAACTGAGGGTCCCAGGCTAAACTTTGTGGTATGCGTGTTTCAATATTCATCAATTCTTATCTACCCGCCCTGACTTTTGGAGTCTCACCAATATCTGATGTTCAATACAAATACCGTCCGGTTCAAGACGCGACCAGTTCTGGCGACTATGTTTTCCGAATTACCGAGCACGTGGGCGTGTCAAATTCTCACGGTGACGTGGAACTTGCGAATTCATAATTATAAGCTCAAATTCATATCGCGACTTTGACTATAACCCTCTCAACTTATCCAGCAATGTGGAACACTCAGGCTCTTGCGTTAACGCTGGCTCTCACCTCAACGTTTGCCTCTGCTGCAATATTTCCCAAAGACACTGTAGTCAAGATGCTTGATCCAAAGGGATTCCGGAAAGTTATGAAGGCCAATGTAGGTATAATCGAAGTTCAATCGTGAACGCACACTCACTCATGCATCAGGAAACCACTATGGTAGCTTTTGTGGCCCCTTGGTGTGGTGTTAGTACAAGGCATTCTACTTATGAACCAATTGATTTATCTCCCGAGACAGCACTGTCAGCGAATGGCGCCAGAATACAGCAAAGCCGCATTAGGTCTTTATCCTCTCATTCCTACATATGCCGTTGATTGCGACGCCGATGCCAATAAACGTCTCTGTCATGATCAAGTGGGTAGAGCTCTGATTCTCATGTCGTACTTTCACTCACAAGCAGCGAGTAGGGCGTTCAAGGATTTCCCACAATCAAAGTCAGAACCTTCTTGCCAGTCTTAGCGCCTCTGACATCGTGAATATCTAGCTCTATCCTCGAGGAAAACAGCTCAACCCATTGACCTATGATTCTGGTGATCGATCTTCAAGTTCGTTTTTCTACTGGGCATCTAGGCGTGTGCCCAACCACATCAAGAAAATTGGACAGTTAGATGACATTCAGCGATGGGTGGAAGAGGTGCTTCTCCAAACTGCAAGATTCCGTGGCTCACACTAATCATCTGAGTCAGAGTGCAGAACGCGGACTTCCTCGCGCGCTTCTTCTAACAAAAGAAAAGATCATTCCTTTACTATGGACCGTTCTAGGCAACAAATTTGCAGGGAAAATCGAACTCGCGTCCCACCGTGATCGCAAAGGGAAAAGTTCTGTGGCAATGGGTTACGAAGCAGGCGAACAGAAATCATCTAAGGTGCTAATATACGCACCAGGATCAACAACTCCCGTGCGATACGAAGGTAGACACGCTTAATTCAATCCCCACCAGAACTGAGTGTCCTGAATTCTGCCAGGTATAAACAAACTTGACTCTCTTTCCAAATTCTTCGAATCAGTCATCGATGGTACTGCCGACCTCAAGACTGTCAATGAAGAAGCCGCTTCTGAGGAATTCGTTCCAGACGAAGCGGAGCTCGAGATTGAGCGCAAGCAAGAGGCCCAGCGTATTGCTCTCGCACATGGAGGATTCGCTAACTTCATTGACTTTGAGGACGCTCTCAAGAAGGGTCACAATCCGCACGGCTCTCAAGGATATCCGGGAATGATGGGCGATATGCCGAAGAAAATGAAGGAAACTCAAAGTGAGTCAAAAGTAGCAGAATCAATGGTGGAAACTGGAGATGCCAAAGAGCAAGCTACATTTGCTGCAAGTTCCGCAGAAGTGCCAGCACCTACTGCTGCTCATACTCCGGAACCGTCAGAAGTACCAACGGAGGAGACAAAGGCGTCTGAACCAGAGCCCGGGTCAGCTCCCAAAGACGAATTATAATTCAGGCCGGAGGTTTATTTGTTGTTAGGGTTAAAACATAACATATCATTATTCAACCTGGTGTACGATTTTCTGGATCATTATCCCATGCAACTAACTATTCGTAGTATATATGCATTTTTTGTCGGATGCAATGCAGATGAACGACCATGTGGGTATCTGTGCAGATTGATTGGAAACAATGTGTGGTATTAAAGTATGCGGCACAAGTACCCCGAAACAAAGATCCTCAGTGACTCGTACATATCATGAATCTGAAAAACAGAGACACACGAAAAGTGCCAATGTCAAGAAGTACCGAACGAATTGAAGGGTTGTCAACACATGGAAGCTTAGTTGTCATGAATCGCCCTTGAGACCGCTCTACAGCTCTACATCCCATCAACCTCAGGTGCAACATCGCGGTAAGAAATTCAGTGTCCATTGAAAAACGCATTGCCAAGCCCAAGCATCGGTCACAAGAATAGTGCGAGGGTCATCGCGGTGCTCATAACACCGATGGCAGCAGACCACATTCTTGCGTCGACAGCGAGTCCGAGCCCAGCATTTGCATTTGCTGAGCTCGAAGTTGCAGCAGCTTGGTCCGCCCCGGTAGTAACGACAGGGGTGACAGTCTTTGCACTTGCGGCACCAGAGGTGTTACCAGAAACAGTAACTACACTAGTAGTACCTCGAGCACTTGCAGTAGTAGTAGCAGGCGTAGTGGTAGTGATGGCACTTGATGAAGACGATGAGACGGAAGCTGAAGTAGCGGGGACACTACCGGAAGTCACACCGCTCGCGAAGGACGGTGCAGCACTCGCACTAGACGGGTTAACGAGGGCACCATTGCCCCAGGCGATGGTTTCACCATCTGGTTGAGTGCTGTTAGGCGGTGTGGTAGTTTCACCTGATGAAGATGCGATGGCAAAGCGAGTGGTCCAGACAGGGTCCCCAGTTTCAGCTGGTGAAATAAACTGGTAGAAGTAAATGGCCGAGTAGATAGTGACCTCGGGACAAGTCCAACTGTATGAACCAGATTTTGTGCCATCCAGACCGGTAGCGACAGCTACAGAAATGAATGCGTAAAAGAATTATACACGGAGAGAATTTCGCATACTGGTCAAAAACACCATGTCGAAGTTGTCTCCGGTCATAAACTCGATGGCCATGTTGGACCAGTTAGAGCTTGAACTAGAATCACCTGTCCAAGTGATAGAACATGTCGAACCCGCGTTTCCGGTGGACGGTGTATCAGGCACAATATCAGCGCGAGCAAGGAGGGTAGAGGCTGCAGCAGCGGAGAGAACGACGAAAGAGAACAAAGAAACCATAGGATGTTTGATCAAAGGTAGAACTGGACAATTTAAGAATGAGCTTGCGAAAATTGACGTCTTTAAATGCTTACCTTGAGTGTTAGCAAGGCTGTGATGAGTACAAAAGAGTGACAGTGTAGGTAAAGAGCGGGCGGTGAAAATGTCAACGTTGTCGTCCTGAAAAACGTTTAATAGGCTTCTGAGAAATTCAGGGCGTATTCATATGATATCAATCGTGGGAACGCTATATGTGCTTAAGCGCGGAAGCGCTGCGGTAGTATGTAGTTGTTGAGCGCTGCCAGGGTGCAATCAATTGGAGGCAGATTGGTGATGACAAGCCATCATCCACACCCCATATTTACAAAATACTTTCTCATGCACCAAATCTTGGCTCCCCTACTGCTAATGTAACACCCAATAAATGAAGGACTTTTAGACAGAGATAGTCCTTGGTTGAAGTAAGTACTAGACATCATCCATCTATATTTTGTGCATTTAATGTATCCCTCTTTTGCCTACTTTTTTTTGAATGCATTGTGCTATAACTGTTGCAAAGTGAGCCACCTCTATTATTTTCCTTCTCTTTACAATACATTATCCTAGCACTTTATAATAGCTGGTCTGGAACCTTCTACAGTGTTCTTGGTGGTTTGGTCCTCCACAATAGAGGCAGAGGTTGTTGGTGCAATGGCAATCTTTCTCCTCCTGAGTGAGGGGAGCACAAGGAGTGCTGGATTTGGAAAGGAGGTGGTCAGGGCATTGATCTGCATAGGCTCACCAGGTGAGAGGTAAGTGGAGTCAGCAGTCATGTTAGTGTGAGACTGATAGTTTCTGCTACTAAACTTCTTGGTGTATTGGGACTTGGGCTTCTTCTCAACTGCACATTAATATTGACTGTCATCCCATCAGCAAAATCAGAAATGTATAGACAGTATGATGACATACACATCATACATCATCATAGCTACCTGGAGCGGTATGATTGGTGGAAGGGGGTAGTGTCAGCATACGGTGATCATACACTCTGTATGATGCACCCAGCCCTTCCCTGTATGATGTCATACTCGCCTCATACTCCCTCATACTCACTTTATACGTCGTGAAAATAAAACAAAATTTCTGAGAATGTTGGCTGAATCGCATAGTATAATAATTATACTTAAGTACTAGAATAGTAGCATCCGGATATGTCACGTAGAAAGTGCCTGACCAATTTTCTTCCATGTTACGATCATGCGCATCGACCACATCGGACCGACACCACTATCGATCCAGCTCCGCATACTGCCGCAATTGCGCGCATCGATCGAACTATCGATCCGACTCACCGACCCGACT